TTAAGTAGAAAAAGCAACTTTGCCATTTTTGAAAAGTAATGCTTTATGTCAAGTTCAAGATCTTTGAAATACAAGCCAGATCTTTGAGGCAAGAGTTGGTAGGCAAATCCCACTGATCAAGAGCAAAGTGTGAAGCATGCTTGAGAGCATTGGACAGGCCTATATCACACTTACACTATCCTTGCTTACATTGAAAGAAAGCTTGCAAAAACTCTCCATCTCTCATTCCTGTAAACACCAGCCAAAGCAAACTTTTAAAACATCTTTCATACATCCAAGAAAGCCTAAAGCACGACCAAACCACCCCTCATCCCTCCTCATACAGAAAATCACAGTTTTTCTGCAAAATAGGGCATCTGTTGCAGTTTGACTTCCACAATCCATTCCACTCGTGCACTTTGGCTAAAACTAGTTCAAATACATTCTATATCATCCACTAGAACTATCCCAAGCCCTAGATACAAACTGTAACACCCCTAAGATCACTTGCCATTTTCACTTTTCAGTTTTGCAGGTGAACTTCCGTAGCACGATTCAGAGAGTATCAAAGCAAGCTAGGTGTTGGAGAAGCATCCTTGGACTTCAGGCAAGCTGTACAAAAGCTCAAACTCCATTGAGGTTGGCCACATTGCTATACACGAATCAAGCTGAAACAGGTAAAAACATGAACTTCTATCTATCAATCTAGGAAGAGTTAGGCTTAGGTTTGTGAATGAAACATGCTCTACTCATAGCCCTGAAGCCATCCATGTATTTACTTTTCATTTATATTGAGTATGCTGTGAGAATTTTGGCCATGAACATTGAAGAAAAATTAGGTCAGAAATTGGGGATGAAGAAATTCTCCCTCGTTTCTTAGAGTTAGGTCAAGTATTTTATATGTTTGAATTCGTCTCTTGATTCTCTACATTATTGGTGTTATGAGTTTTGCATGAAAGTCCAGGAATCAGGAGTTAGGAAACGCGCGTTTTTGCTTGTTCAAACGAAGCTGGAGGTTGAAGAAGGCTGACTTGGGCTGGGCCTGAGTTGGTTTTGCTCTTTGCACCCCCTTTTCCAATTTACACCCCCTGGCCCATTGTGTGATATATTTATCATTTTTGATTTTTTCTTTTTGATTCTGACTTATTATTTTTTGCTCAAATATCAAAAATATCAAAAATATTCTTCCATACATTTTTGCATTTATTTGGCATTTATTTGTTTTATTTAGCATATACATGTAAATAAATATATTTTCTTTTTATTCAAAACACTAGAAAATAATACAAAAATATATATTTTTTAGTTATTATTTATTATTTACATTTTGAAAACATTTTCTAAAAATACACATTTTTGTAAATAATTAATATTTTATTCTTGTACATATTTAGTATATTTAATATATAATATATAAATACTTGTATATTTTATTAGATAATTAGGGCAAAAATATAAAAATAATACATTTTTATTTTTATTAATATATGACATTAAAAAATACTTTTTTTACAATATACTTCTTTTTTATTTTTATTTTTTTTTGTATAAATTAATATATAAATATTGTATATAATTAATAAATAAATACTATTTATTTAAAAACTAGGGTTTTGCCCTAAACCATAAAAATATTCAAAATTTGACCTTTTTATTTTTGTTTATATTTTACATTGAAAAACACTTTCACATACATAAAAAATCATTTTTGTGCATAATACATTTTGCATATTTATTGTATTTACTTTACATTGTACAATTAAATAATTTGTATATTCGATATGGATGTAATAGTTTAGATTTAATTTCTTGTCAAATATCCCCCCATTCAAACATTTGTACCCCCATCCCTATAATCATGTTGTAATAATTTAGGACTTTAAATTTCCGCATTTAAAAGCTTTCAAATTATGCCATGATAGACCTAGGGTTTGTATGCAAATCAAATAACAAATAGCTTGACTAATACAACAACAAAAAAGCATGAAAATGGACAACACAATGCACACTTGCACCCTTAGGGTTACTCCACTTCTTGCCTTTAAAAATGGGCCATGTTGCATGTTGAGGGTCTTTGGCAAAACAAAAACAAATCAAATGATCATAGTCCCTCGATGACGCTTTCTCAAGTTGCCTAAAAAATGATCAAGTCCCTTAAGAGAAAAATTGCCAAAGACACTTGGCACTATTGCATTCATGGTCTAAATGATGACCCGCGCCCGTCCCGTTAACATCCTAACACAAGATTGTCCACCAAATACAATGGTGGAACAATACTGTTAAAAGGGTTAAAACATAGGAAAGATCTTTGAGAAATTTAGGGTAGATAGCTCTTGATTACTTGACCAACTTGCAAAACAAATCCTTGCCATTTTTCAAAACACACTCCACAACACAACTTTCAAAACAACTTTCAAAAAATATTGAACATCTTTTCAAAAAGACAAACACCTTTGTAAAACATTTGAGTAAAGAATTGTTACAATGGTTGCCTAGACAAGGCATCTTTTTTAAAACATTTTCAAAAACCACACACACAAAGCACCATTTCAAACAATTGAAAAGAAAAGGCAAGTGATCTAAGAAAGTAACTAAGAGCCCATGGATAACCATGGATAGAAAAGGTGCTAATACCTTCCCTTTCTATAATCTACTCCCCGAACCCAAGAAAACATCTCAAAGGTTTTTCCTGTGCTTTTTAACCTTTCCTTAGGATAAAATAAAAAGTCGGTGGCGACTCTTGCTAAATCGAAACATTTGCAAAAACAAACGCAAAACCTCAAGTCAGTTCTCCCACCGTATCACACCTACGTATCCTTTTTGAGGAATCAGAGCTACCATAGTTCGGCTCATATGTTTTTGTTTGTTTTGTGTTTTTTATGGACGATGCTAATTCCGCCTTCTGTCGTAGCTCGACCTTTGAAGACTTATGCTTTATCACAGAAGTAAACTAATCATGTACTTACCTGAAAAGGGTTTTATAGAAAAGGTGCTTGGATGCACAAAAAGGATTTTATTTGGCATGTATTTTTGTCACCTTGAAAAAGGGTTTAAGTGCTATTAGCATGTTTTAGGTTTGCTAAGGAAAACTAGTTTTAGATGCAAGGATGTAAAAAGGAAAGAAAAGTGTCTAAGGGAGACTAGCCTATTCCTAACCTAATGTTATCATACAATGGTAGTCCTAAGGTTTATATTAACAAAAGGGAAGCGTCTACCTACTGTTAGCATGCATGGCTTACAACTTAAGGTCTAACTTGCGTCTGAAGGGAGAAAGCATGTCCTAAGGGAACATGGTATGTACAAGGATAAAGAAAACAAGCTAATAAGCTCAAGATATCATACCTAGAGAGATCCTATCTAGGTTAGCATGCCAAAGAAAGTCTAACAAAACTATCCTATAGGGAACATGCAATGAGAGCGAAGTCGTGATCTCAATTTCTAAATTGAGTGACTCATCGATTAACAAGAAATAAAGGAAAGCGATAAAATCCTATAGGGAGCATGCACTGAGAGAGAAGTCGTGATCTCAATTCCTAAATTGAGTGACTCATCGATCAACAACCAAAGAAACAAACACAAGCACAACACATATAGCAAATGAAGTGCGGAATGCCTGCTACAGGTCTTTAAATAGCGACTTCGAGCGCACGCTCTTTATTTCCTACTTCTCATGGTATCTAGAAAGCAATAAAGTCCTACATCTCATGATTTCTAGAAAAGCGGTAAAGTAATATAGTAAAGTGCGAAGAAGTATGAAGGTAGTAGCGGCGACTACCAAAGCGAGCAAATCGTCAAGAGCGGACGAAAGCAATGGAGAAGCAAGAAGTACGTGTCGAGCAAGCTTCACCAAGAAATAAAAAAAAGTCAAAAATGATATCCAACTAAGATAAAAGAAAACGCGTGTTACGAATGCAACGCATAATCAGAAGTTCCTGCACAAGACATCATAAAGTATTGCATGCATCAGGACAACATATAATACGATATGAATTTCTAAGGACAATGAGAAATAAGGCGTGTCGCATCAGAAGCGAGCATAAGCCGTATGCTTAGGTCACATAACTATATGTTATGTTATATGATTGAAAGTACAAAAATGTACATTTCACAATGAACAAACGCGTCAATATATAACATGGCAAAGCGGCACGAAAGTATGGACAAAAACTAAAAGAAAAAAGTATTTTTTATTATTAGTTTCTATATAAGGAAAATTCTAAAAAAACTAAATAATTAATTCCTAAAAATTCCTATTATATTCTACTATATTTTTTATTAATGTTTTATATTATTTTCATCATGTATTACATTGACAAAAATTAACACACAAAAAATACTAAATCTAACAAAGAAATAGTGAATTCAAGAAGGTGCTAATGGGAATCTGATGGTGTACAGAAGCAGGGTGCTAGTCCCAAACAGAAAGGGTCCATAAGCTGTTTCTGTTTGTATCAAACTTTCACACAAAAAAACTGATGAATTTGGGCTTAGGATAATTCAATTTGGCCCAATGATGGTGGCTTTGCACGCTGGTCCGGTTCACACAAAAAACTGCTACGTCATATTCAAAGATCTGGTCCAACCCTTGTTGTTTCTTCAAAAAAAACCAAAATGATGTGAAACGATGTCGTATTGATGCCTAGGGTTAAGAATTGGATAAATTCTTCCCTTCTTCCTCAACCCGCGGTGCACTTCACTTGCTTTTCTCCAATTGCTCCGCCGCAAGTTCATTCTTCCAACACCGTCATCTCAGTCTTCACCCACTGCTTCAATCACCAACTCTTTGTCGCAACTATAACTCAATATTCTCTTCTTCACCGATTCCTTATCCTATTCCTCAAATCTAAACAAATCTAGAAAAGAAAACCTAGAAAACTCAAGGAAGAATCAAATGATGAAAGAAGTGAATCTGGAAACGAGACCCTAGGTTTATGGATCAACACATCACAGGCTACATAGCAATACAAAAATTATGAGCGCGTGAAGGAGATAGTGAGACTACCGACCTGATAGCGGCGTTGATGACTCGTAGAGGAGAAGAAACCCCGGAGAACTTCGATGCTGGAGGTAATATTAAGCTTCCTCCATTTTTCTTGTTCTTGTCGCTTCTTCGCGATTCTTCTCTTTAGCGTTTTTTTTCATTTTATTATTGTTGCATGTTGTAGTGCAGAGAACGAAGATGATGAAGGTGATGATGAGGTTGCAGGTTGTTGAGCGAAGGCGATGCAGAAGATTGGAGGTGCCAAGTTTGTAACAAAATGAAGGTGTTGGTGATTTTTTGTGATTCTTCTCAGAAATTGAAGAATGGATCGTGAGGGTGATGAAGAGAATGAAATGTAATCTTCTGAGATTTTCTCCATTGAATCTTATATCCTCCTTCTTCTCTTGTATTCTGTCACATTTGTTATCTTTTTTTCTCCCCTCTCTTTTCTGTTTTTCAATCTGTTATGCCTCATCTGGAAGTTTTTTTGGGAGATGATGAAATTCTGTTTTTCTGCTATTCCTTTTCTATGAATTGTGCCTCTCCTTCTCCTCCTTTCAATATGTTAGGAAATATCTCCCTCTATAGAAATTTGGTTGGGAATTATATTCTGTTAGGAGTTTGTTACAGAATTGGTTAGAAGATAGAAGCCTGTTAGAAGTTAGTTAGGGGTTTTTTATTCTGTTTTCTATTATAGGTTCTGTTAGAGGTTAGTTAGACACAGGGTTGTTTAGAAGTTGGTTAGAAAATAGTTAGAAGGATATAAAGTTGTTTTTGATCTGTTTAAAACTGATAAAAGTTAGTTATGGTAGTTAGGAGATAGGAAATTCTGTTGAGAGTTTGTTGAAAACAGTTAGAACTTGTTAGAATGGATTTTTTCTTGACAAATTCTCAATAGCGTAGTACAGAGAATGGTTTATATGTTAATTAATGGATTCTTTTCTGGGTTTTTTGATGTGCAGGTTTTAAGTTATGTGCAACGGAATTGGTTTATTGGTTGTTGTGAATTGGACCTAGCTTAACGTCCCATGGTGCAAAGTTGCAAGGCAATGGTTTTGAAGTATGAGGCCTGAGACAAGAAATTGGAGACGAAAAGGTAGTATGGAGGATCATTGTTAAGGCAAGAAGCTTGAATTATGGACAAGAGGATAATGAGTTATGAAGGTCATTGAAGATGAAGAATTTGGATTATGTTTAGTTTAGGATTAGGTTTCTTTTGATGTGATTTTGCAGCCTTGATGTAAATGGTTTTTGAATTGTTATTGAATCATGTACATGCTTTTGACAGAAATTTAAATTGGATGTGGTTTTATGGTGCAAGGATAGAGTTAACAATCTGAACTGGTTGTTTGTGGCGATGTTGCTCCCTACGACGGTCAACTCTGGGAAGTTAAGTGCGACTACAGCCTGCTTCAGAATGGTAGTAGAGAAGGGCAAGCGGCAGCGGAAGCTGCCAATATTTTGTGTTTTGTTTTTATTCCATGATGAATTGGTGAATGGATGGATTGTTGGGCTGTTTTGGAATAAGATGAAACAAGGCATCAATTTTCTTAGGATGCAATTGAAATTTGAATGACCTTGTATGCCTTGAATGCAATATTAATTTGGCAATTTCAAATCTTTAATCTCCTATCTGAAATCAAGTCTTCTTCAAATAGCACTAAGAGCTCCCAATACCTCTCTTCATTTGCAACTTGAATGAAACACGTGATACCAAACCCTTTTTGTGGATAATTCACGAGATAAACTCCAAGATGACTAAAGAAATACTTTCATTTGAAATTCAAAATCTTGCTCATGAATGAAAATGATGTGCTTTCTTCTTCAAAGTGACTTGAATTCCAAGGAATCCACGTGGATGGACATTTCCAAACTTAATACATTTGCCACTTAAAATATTGGTCCAATTTAACAAATTCGAACCACTTGAGCTCATGATTTCAAATAATCCCTTGAACGAATACTTTCACCATAATGAATCCAACACTAATTCAATTCACTCAATACCCGTCAAACTTGTATAACAAGAAATGAGAGAACCAATGATGCCTTAATCTCAGTGAGTTCATAACATCATCCTTGTATCACGTCTTTACTTGATGATCAACAAAATTTTAGTGCTTTGAATCCTTAAGAACGAATGATAAGGCTTGAAGCATAGAATAACTCATGGATATCTAATGATCCTTAACAGAACAAAACCCAAGCATGAGTATAGGTAAAACCTAATTCTATGGCTTTAGATACTCAATGAGGAGAAAGATAGCTTAAGCCAAAATCTTGGTTCAAAACAAACTCAACTGCAACCTTGATGAGACACTGAGTACCATAAGTAAAAACCCTAATGCACTTTTCTCTGGATGAATATTTGACGAGGAAAGAAATCCACAAATCCTAAACTACAAATCCATAATCCACTACATGAAGAGGGACCAAAAGAATCAAACTTTATTGAATATATACCTCGAAATGCTGTGAAACCTTAATATCATACAACCATCAAGCATTGAACCTCAAGCGCTTTATTAAATGAAACAAATGCAATGTTAGTGACCTGGTGGAGGTTATGCATATGGTGATGCATAAGCCAGATGATCTTTGTTAAAGGGTAGAACAAATTTGGGGTATTACACCTGTAAAAAATAGAAGAAGAATAGTGTGATCGGTGGATCTGGAACTGACTGTTTAACGCTGGTTCGCGAAATGTCGCGGTAAGCAAGAGTCGCCACCGTCTTTTATTTTCTCCAAATGGAAAGGACAAAAGCACAGAAAAATTCCTTATAGAGATTGCTCTCGGTTCGGGAGGTAGGTTATAGAAAGGGAAGGTGTTAGCACCCTTTCTATCCATGGTTATCCATGGGCTCTTAGATACTTGCTCAATGTGTTTTCAAAATTGTTTGTTTGCTTTTCAATGTGGGTTTAAAAAAGTTTCTTTGAAAAATTTCAGTTCGACTCGTACGTCAGAGTGTTTGAAAAATTTGCTTTGAAAGCTTTTGAAAAGTGTTGGTGTGAAAAGATTTTGATTTGTTTGAAATTAGAGCAAGTATCCTTGAGAACCTACCTACCCTAAGGAATTCGTCTGTGTAAATGTCCTTTAAAGTAGTGCCATCCCACCATTGAGAGGTAGGTAGCACCACCGTTGGAGGTGTTCGGGTCAATTCGAGGTTCGGGACATGGTGATCACCAGAGCAATGGGAAGACACCTTAGAAGCTACCCTCATGCCAGGTTCCCGGATCATGAGGACTTACTAAGACGTCCTCTACTCGACGATCACCTTTCGAAAGGCAACAGTGAGGCGTACCCTAGGGGTGGTGTGTGCAAATTGTGTGTCGTTTTCATTGATATTTGTCTTGTCATGTTAAAGTGATCTACGCTTAATTTTAATTAAGGCCATTCATTCTTGCATGCTTGTTAACAGTTATAAAGTTTGCGGGAAAATAAATCTAAGGCTATTACAAAGGCGCGGGTCCACATCGCCAAAATTAAACCGGACCCGATTTGACGGAAAATAAGTAAAGCAATAAAATAAAAGTGCGAGAAATAAAATCGTTACAACGCTTTGGGAGAATTACATAATTATAATAAACGACATAAAATAAATGCGCGAATAAAATAAATTACGAATGAGGGCGTTGGACCCTTTTGCAAAAAATTAAATTAATAAGGAATTAAAATAAAAATTAAATGTTTTTGGTATTTTTGTGTTTTTTATGATTTAATGGAAAAAGAATTAATAAAAACTAAAATTGAGCGTTAAACCTAGTTCTAATTATTTTTTAAGTTATTAAGAAAATATTAAAATTTAACCTAAATTAAACCTAAGTTTGTTATATACAATTAATTATGAAAATCAATAAATAATAATATTATGATCAAAAGGAAAAATTAAAAGGAATGAAAATTGTCAATTAACCTAATTCTACCTTTTTTATATTTAATATGAAAAGAATTAAAATTGCAAAAATCCTAATTAAAACTAAATTCATTATATGTTAATTTATTTACAAGAAAATAATTATAATAAAAATATTTATTATTTTTTGGTCTTTTCTGATTTTTTTTTGATGTTTTTATATTTTGTAGAAATAATTAATTAAATTAAATAATCAAGAAAATAACATAATAATTTAAATAAAATATAAGAAAAATAAAAAGAATGGCAAACCAGGGGGGGTGTAGCCCCAATATGGAGGTTTTGATGGTAAAGCCTGGCCCATTAAGATTCAGGTTCGTTGACTTTTTTGTGCAACATGTGATGCGTCTGACTATGGTACATGGTACTCCTTGGATCTGGGCCATTGATCTGGTGCCCTTGGACGCGTGGAGGTTGATTGCTGGGCGTGTATGATGATCCTGGCCTTGGGCGCTGCATATGAACATTTGATGAAAAACAATATTGGGATAACGTAGACCTGGGACTTGAACCCAGGTCATGATGGTTACAAGCACATACACCTGCCAGCTGAGCCATTACGTTTCAATTAACATATTATAATAAATAAATAACAAAAAGAAAAAACCAACGCGTAGTGGTTAAACGCGCGAAATTTAAAACCAGCCTATCGTTGATGGACAACACATCATCTTCTTCATTGTTTTTATTTTTTTCTGAAACAAAAGCCTATGGAAACGGTTTTGCACGCATGGTCTTAGGCTAGCTTCAAGAAAATAGCGACTAGCGCCATGATGTCAATAAATTGATCGCGAGGTATGCACTTGCTTCGTCTAAGCTTGCTGAGTCCAATGGCCATAGTCTGGAATCCTAATTTTGCCTTGGGTAGAAAACCCCAATTTTGAAAACATGTAACCCTAGAAAGCAGTTATGGCATAATCGCGTATGGCGTGTAAAAATCCAATCAAACACGATGGTTAGTTTCAGAAGCTCAAAACAAACATGATGCCATGAATAGAATGATGTAAAAATGCTTAAAAGATGATATACGATTATAAATTTTTGGCTTTACAGTTTGAGTTACAGGTACCAATTCCTGGAGCTTTTGTGGTTGTTTTTGATTGGAGCACGTTCAGTGAGGTTCCAGGAAACTATTGAGACAAGAATGGCGCTTTGAATCGACTCATAAAGTTGATTTCAGTTTTTGAGTTTTTCCAGCAATTTTTCAAGTTTGTACTAGCCTCTTATGCGCAGCTTTTAGTCTCCAAGGCTTAGGGTTGTGATTCTCATTATGTATGGAAGCAATTAGGTTAACAAAACTGCATAAAATCCAAGGCATTCATTGTTTTCAATATTTGATTTTCTAAGAATCTTTACATATCTTTTTCATGTGCAATTTTGTTCAATCATGCCAAATCAAACCAAAACTTGCCTAATTAGGATGTGCACGTGATATTGAGAGTAAAACATGCATGAAAAGATTTTTTAGGTCAAGTTTGATATTTTCCATGTATTTAAATAATTTAAATGAATTAATATTAATAGAAATTCAAATAAATAAATAAAAAATGAGAAAATACTTCCCTTTGGGCCAAGTGGTCGTGCATAGGCTTGGAATGATGAATCATGGAAGAAAAATGGGCCGATTAGCAAATTTAGGTCATTTGAACCATTGTTGACTTTTCAAAATTCCCAAAATTTTCCCAACTTCCACAAGGCATAACTTGCTCAATTTTTAAGCTTTTCACATGTTCTTGGACAGTTTGGAAAGGTCTTTGAGTCCTCTAACCAATGCCTTTGGTCCCATGTCATTTTGATTTACCAATCTCAAGTTATGGTCTTTGACTTAAAGTCCCTTTTTGTTGACTTTTGAAAATGACCTATAATGTTGAAATTGATAACTTTTTGTGAGAGCATTTCTTGGACTTGAAGTATGAAGATGAGTTGTAGGAAATGTCTTTCTCTTCAAAATGAGCTTTGGATGGAATTTTTTTGATAATCCATGTGAAAGTTATGCCCTGGTCAATTTCAGTTGACTTTTTCAGCTGTCCAAATATAGTAACTTTTGCATCTTTGATTATTTCTTAGCCAAATTTTGAGAATCATGATCAAGCATTGATCAAATGATGTTTGTGGCTTCAAAATGATATGTTGATCAAAAATTTGAACTTTTGACTGCCAAATGACCATTTTGCCCCTACAGTTGACTGTAGTGCAATTTAGGGTTTTGACTGTGCAATTTTGAGCTGAATGCCTTGAAACTTGATATGAAGATACTTGACCATCTTTGTAGGCATGTGAGACTTGATTGGGCCTTTGAAAACTTCATTTTCTTGATCAGAACCCAAACCCTAGTTTTGACTGTATAGGAGACAGTTGAACTGCATGACCCTTGGGGAATTTTGTGACCTGACTTGGCAATTTCTTGGAGAATATGGGAGGGCAAATTTTGGGGTGCAACAGTTGCCCCTGTTCAATCTTCTTAGACCTGAGGATGTAGATTGGCTGACGTGCCTTTCGTAATCCGAGGGTAGAAGATGATTGGACACTAGAGTGCCCAGAAATTTGCGCTCACATAGTAGCAGTGTGATGGGAATGGGCTTATAGATGCCATTTAGAGATTGCTGGATAGGGTGATGGGCTTATAGATGCCATCTGGATGTTCTTTGCGTGGGAGATTCCT